AAAGGAGCGGGAAGAAAAGAAGAAGCGACGCGAAGAGGAGGCCGCCGCCAAGGCCGAAGCCGAGAAGGAAAAAGCCTAAACATTTGCTCACGTCGCCATTTGTGTCTTTTTTTTGTTTGAAGTGATAGTCGTTGATTTGTGGGGGGTACAGATCTCTATTTGTTTGTCTGAATAAATCGTTGGTTTTTCATATTCCTGCGTGGTTAGCATCATGGTTTTGAACCAATTTATCGGTATCCGAAAGAATAATGGTAAAAATTCGGAGATCTTAATCGCAATATTTTTCAAACTATGCTGTTTGAGGCAGAAAAGTCGATCAAAAATCGTAAATTCCATTTTTTTGCAGTTAAACCTACACACTAACAACAAAACTTGATGAGTCGGGATGACGAAAAGCACGGACTTGAGCTCCAGGTGCACCAACATGTCAGTTTTTTTACGGTGAAAGTATAGAAATGACGTAAAAAATCGTCAACAAATAAAAATTCTATTTCTCGCGTTTAGGTGGACCAGGGGATCTCCGATCTCAGCCGCATGGCCCAGTCGATAGCCCAAGCCGATGCGAACAAACGGCCCCATGGGTAACGCCAAAATTGAAAGCATTAAATTTCTATTCAGCGCGGAAGCATCACGGCTGCGCTCCAGCTCGAACATCTCCAACATGCCGAATCACGAGGAGATCGCGCCGGCGGAAAGTAGCTACGTGCTGTTTTTGCAGGCTAGAATTGAAAAGCGACGGCTTACGATAATTTTAGGTCATCTTCCCGTTCACGATCGCGGGCGTTGGGATGGTGTTCGCCGGGACGGTGCTGGACCTCGTGCAAGCTTGGCCGCTATTTCAGCAGGTAATTTGAAAGCGGGAGACCAAAAATGGCTGATTTTTAGGTCCCCGAAACGTTCATCCTTGTGCCAGCTTTACTAGGGCTGAAGGGAAACCTGGAAATGACGCTGGCGAGTAGACTTTCGACATTGGTGAGGCTTAGGAAATTATTTTAATTGCATATCGTAACTAGACAATCGATAGAAACATATTTTTTAGGCTAATCTCGGCCACCTCGATTCACCAAAACAACGCTGGGACGTCATCAAGGCGAATCTGGCCCTGATCCAAGTCCAAGCCACTGTCATCGCCTTTCTCGCGTCGGCGTTTGCGATAATGTTGGCCTGGATTCCGAATGGTCATGTAAGTTTGTCTATTTTCTTTTTTGGCTATAGAAAATATGCATCAAATCATAGAAAATTGTAGATTAAGTGGTTGATAATAAGAAAAACGATATAACAACGCATTTTTAGATCGATTGGTCGCATGCCGCGCTTCTCTGTGCCTCCTCCTTGGCGACGGCCTGTTCCGCTTCTCTCGTCCTATCGCTTCTGATGTGCGCGGTCGTCCTGGCCTCCCGAAGTCTGCACATCAACCCGGACAATGTGGCGACTCCCATTGCAGCTTCATTGGGAGATTTAACGACGTTGGGGGTACGTTAAAATTTGTATAAGTTACGAAATTCGAATTTTCGTCGTGAGACTGATATTTTTGTGAAATTGATGAAAATGTATTTTTTAGGGTTTTAAAACGAACTCTAAGCTTGCAGGAGTTTGAAAGAATTCTGAATACCGTAAATTCCAGGTTCTCGCCCTGTTCGGCTCCATCTTCTTGAACGCGCACGAGTCGGAGTCGTGGCTGAACGTCGTCATCGTGCTCATCTTCCTGCTGTTGGCGCCGGCCTGGTTGCGCGTGGCCAAGAAGGACGAGGGGGCGGTTGAGGTGATTTTTTGCGGTTTTTATGATAAGTTGTGAATGATTATTGAAAGCCATGAGTATGGTCGACAAATCATCAAGGTAAAGTTAGGCCTTAACGACGTTTTTATCATTATTGTAAAACTTTTAATGTGTCTCTTTAGGTCCTCGCAACCGGATGGAGCCCCGTGATCGCTGCGATGCTCATCTCCTCGGGTGGCGGCTTCGTGCTGGAGCGCGCCATCAGAACTTTCCCGGCCATCGCTTCTTTTCAACCGGTGATAAATGGTGAGTTTTGCTGTTTTTGAAAACTTGACTTTAAAAGCCTTGTAAATGCATGAGCTTCCGGTTATCATCAAATTAATATAAAATTTTCTAATGAATTATAATGACTATACTACAATTTACTAACTACAGTCATGATCAATTTCAGGGGTCGGCGGAAACCTCGCAGCCGTGCAAGCCTCGCGGCTTTCTACCGCTTTCCACCAGCTTGGCGTCGTCGGGGAGCTGCCGCACGGCTGGGTGTCCGGACGATTTTTGTCGGTCAAGCGAGCCTTCTTCACTAAAGGTATGTAAACGAGATACTTTACCATTTCGGCCTGTTTTCTTGGACTGTTTTATGAATCAAAATCTGGCTTTTTATTTTTGTCGACTAAAAATGCGAATAGACAGATATCGTAAAATCTATTGCCTTTTTTAGAATGGGACTCGCGCTCGGCCCGTGTTCTGCTCCTGCTCGTCATCCCCGGGCACATGTTCTTCAACTGGATGATTGCCGTGCTGCACTCTGGCGCTGATCATCCGCCGAACGGGCCCCTCTTCACGACGTTCTATCTGATTGCGGCGTTTGCGCAGGTGCGTCTCTCTCTCTCGCTCTCTTATCTCTCTATCACTCTCTCTCTCGCTCTCTTCTGATATAGGTTTTCCAGGTGATGATCCTCCTCTGGACCTGCCAATGGCTCGTCGCCTGGATGTGGGGCCGCGGCATCGACCCGGACAACGCGGCCATCCCCTACCTGACAGCCCTGGGTGACCTTCTCGGCACCGTGCTCCTTTTCCTCGTCTTCATCGCCGTCGACGGGCTGCAGGAGAAGAGCGTCCTCGTCGAGGGGTAACCTAGCGCACTCTTTTCTGTGATTTTCCGGCTCTTTTTAACCTGTTTTCACCTTTTTTCACTTTAGATACTTCGCGGTCTATTCTCACTTTCCTAACCAGTCATAATTCCCCACACACTGTGATTTGGCATTTACACGATTCGACGCCTTTTTGCTGGGTTTACTATCCCTGTTTCATAATGCCTTTTTAGATTTTCTGAGGGTTTAAGGGACTGGTAACTTTTGATTTTTAGGTTTTTTAAAATTTAAAAATTAATTTTACGTGGAATTTTTGAGTTTTAGGTTTTTTACGCTCCAAAATTGATTTTTGCATGGTTTTTCACATTTTGCTTAGGTATTTGAAAGTTACCGATCCCTTTAATCCCGCCTGTACCCATCCCAGCTTCACGTTGTGGCATTTCTGACGCTTTAGTTTCCACACCTCTTCGAATTTACAAAACAACATGAAATTGTTTTTTTTAATTAATTTTAGCATTTTGCCTGAAAACCTAGTCCTTTTCCCCACACTCACACATGCATAAGTATTTTTCGCGGTTCTTTCAAATCGTTCACTTTTTTAGGGTTGATTTTAAGGCGTTTTTCGCTGCGTCTCTCGCTCGCTCTGTCTCTCTCTCTGTGTTATCTCTCGCTTTCTCTTTTTCTCTCTCTTGTTTTGTTTTACAATCTCTCGCTTTCTCTGCTTTTTTCATCTCTACGTTAGGCTTTCTCTCACTCTCTGTGTTACACAATCTCTCGTCTTTTTTCTTGTTCTCTAAAAAATCTCTGCCTCTCTTTCTCTCTCTCTCTCTCACTCTTTCTCTCCCTTTCCCTACGTCTCTGCAGCTGCCCAACCAAAGTGTGCCTTCTGTGCTAAATCCCCCAACGGCTGTGATTACGTTTGCCTTTTTCTGGTGTGTGTGCTGAGCTTTCGTAGCAATAATAATTTAATAAATTTTTTTATTCATCCTTTAAAAAATATATTACGTTAGCATCATCTTCAGATATACAAAAACACCATGGAATTGAAGAGCAAAATCGGTAGTGTGAGATCACAAGTCGAATCGAGAGATGTGTGACGCGCACGCGGCGGGGACCCGATAGATGGCTGCGATTTTTTGGGATAAGCTCGGAGATATGCAGATTTAGAGAGAATTGAATTAGCATAGGGTTTTCTAATGTCGTTTTGCGTAGTGTAATATAGACAGCGTAGTTTTGTATAAAACATAGCTGGCAAAGCTTTCTTAAACTTGCAAACTATTCAACTTGCCAGAACCACAATTTTTCTGTTTTTTTCCGATCTATTTTAGCGTTTTACAGATTTAATGGAGATTTTTTAGGGAAAATTTGAAATTTTCTGGATGTAGCGAATTTAAAGTTGTTAATGGTTTTTGGTTTAAAAAAAAAATAGAATTTCTTATTTTATTTCATCTTTTTTTTAGCTTCTAACCCGCCAGAATTTAATTGTGCCAGTTTTAGAATAATATACAAAACTATAACGACTCAAAAACACCTTTTTACAACTGATATTGCACGTTATTGTTGTTGCTCCCATTCGGTGATGGTGAAAAAATGTTAAAGGGAGAGGATGAGCGCGGGGTGAAATTGTAGTAGCCACGGAATGAGAACCTTCCGGCTGCTGTAGATAGTGATTGAGGCGAATGTGGGGTATCTGAGAGACGATGTGACGTCGATCGGACCACGGCGGAATGGTTGCCGGGTGAGGGGCACAGTGCCGTCGTGGACTGGGCTAGGGAGGCGCTCAAATTGTAAGTTTTAAGCTAGTATAAAATCGTACAAGCTTTATGGTACAAGTGTGATGTATCATTTTATAGCCCTTCGGCTGCTCTATCAAATAACATTAACATAAAGCTCGAAATCGTCAGATTATCGAGATACAGGTCAAACAATGATTTGGATTGCCAAAAACTTTTTTAAAACATATTTTCGCAAAATTCAGTGGTTTTTAGCATATTTTGAGTGTTCCATTCGAAAGCTCTGAAAAAGAAGGTGCTCCCGGGCCTCAGTTTTTCAGAATTGAGCGATTTTTGGCCCCTTTACGGGCATCGAAAGCTTGACAAGACTAATAGCTTTAATTTTCCTAATAAAGGACGTTTTATCTAGGTTGGTATCTTTTAATCGTTCTAATTTATACAAAGGTAGAATTCTCACTTCATCCTGGTCGAATTCCCTCCGTTAGCTTGGCGCTCAATCTGCCAGATGTAGAGGATGACGATGGGGAATTGGCAGAGGTAGAGGAGATAGAGAGCGGCGTCCAGATAGAAGTACGTCTTTGCGAAGTAGGACGAACTGAAAATACGCGTTAGTCGCTCTCTCTCTCTCTCTCACTCTCTGTCTCTCTCTCTAACTTCACCAACCTGAGCCCGTAGATCTCATCCACAACTTGCAGCGTATAATGAGGAGCATTAAGGGCAGCCTGAATTGTCGCCATTCCCAAGCATCTTCGGATTGCTGCTTGGCGTCGTCGTTCTTGGGACTGAAATGGAGTTTTTGATAACTCGGTCTCCCTCTCTCTCTCTCTCTCTCTCTCTCTCTCTCTCTCTTTTCTCACCTCGATCCCTCGACTGCTCTGGATCTTCAGGCTTTCTGCATGATTTTTCGAGCTCTTCCGCTTGGCCAGGCCCTCGACGGTGATCAGGGAGAAACTAGAAAAGCAAGAAATTATACATCTTTCTCTCTCTCTCTCTCTCTCTCTCTCTCTCTCTCCTCTCGCTCTCTCTCTCGCTCTCCCTCTTTCTCTCTGGCTCGCGCGCCAGTCTAGAAATTTGCACATTTTCAACATTTACTTTTCTTTTGGTCCCTAAACCCTCACAAAACCCCGTTGGTTCGGATAGAATCTGATCCCGCGGGCCCTTCATTTTGGCCCCGCTAGGGAGTGTAATTAGTTTCCGCGCGGAGTCAATGGCTGAAATAACGTGACCCCCACCACCAGCGAGAGGTCCGCATTTCCCGGGGCTTATGCCTTTGGTGGGGCGCCTAATAGAATTCGCGGTTTTTGAGGGTTGATGCGAGAGGAGAGAGAGAGAGAGAGAGAGAGAGAGAGAGAGAGAGAGAGAGAGAGAGAGAGAGTCAGCGTGTGAGAGAGAAGCAATATTGTTCTGCACTCTGATCCGGTCCCCAGAATTTCCCATACACGGTAATGGCTATATTTACTAGTCTCCCGGCACGTAGACCCCATTAATGCCAGCGGAACACCTGCAAAAAGATGTAAAGCGTACCCAGAAGTCCGATAGTTCCACGTCAACACGGCCATGTCGGTGGCCAGCGTCGCCAAGAAGGGCAGCACGTAGGTGGCAACGGCTTCGCCGACGGCCACCATCTGGAAGCCGCGCTCACTGAAAATTCAAGACCTGATTAAAGGTACCAGGAAGCCAAGAATATATTAGACCAGTGGAAAAAGACCGCTTCGCGGCCATTTTCCACTGGACCCCGTCTAGGAATCATGAATTCCCTTTCCTATTATTGAGGTATGCGGCGCAAGAGCCTGACTCAAGGAACCATTCATTTGCCTGCGGCGCTAGCTACTGATTTTTCGCTCGGATTTAGCCTGCGGCGCGAAAGCGTAAGTCAAGGACCTTTTCTTTGGCCTGCGGCGCCAGAGCCAGCGTTGCGTTAGAATCTCTGAGCCTGCGGCGCTAGTTACTGGTTTTTCTACAGGATTTGGCCTGCGGCGCGAGAGCCTGGGTCAAGAACCCATCGTTGGCCTGCGGCGCCAGAGCCTGGGCCAAGTACCTTTCCTTTGGCCTGCGGCGCTAGAGCGAGGGCCAGGCCTGAACCTCGCATACCGAGAGCCTAAGAAGAAGTTTTGTTGCTGAACTACCAAAAAGCAAAAGGTTAAATTCGGCGCGGATTCGAACCCCGGACCACGCGCTTGTTAGGCCGGACGCCAATCCACTACACCACGGGGCGATGGTTATGGGCGGCGGGAAAGCCCTCTTCTGTCCTGGGGGCGGCCTCACCCCGGGAGGGCGAGCTTCTGGTAACTTTACAAAATTTTGTTTTTGAGTCTGAGTGCGGCAAAAATTTGCAAAAATAATAAGATGTGCGTGATCCCCACTATCGAATACATAAGTGGACCAAATTACACACCAAAATTCCATCTGGGCGTCGAGTTATGGCCCGGACACCACGGGACTGTGGCCATTTTATTAAGGACCTTCTAGTAAATTGCTCATAAAAACTTTATTTTAACGAACTTGGCAAAATCCAGAAAATAGTATCGGGAGAATTGTTTCTTCCATTCACCCTCCAAAAATCAGCGCCCAACTCCTCTTAGCGGCCGAGAAAACCTCCGGACATACCTTTTTTTTCAGCGAAATGTTAAGGATTTTTAACTATTTTAGTTGTAAAATCGTCAAATGAAGGAATTTCGCAAAACAAAAAAAATGCATCACTGACAAATGTGTTTCTCCACCTCCGTGCCAAAAATCAGCTCGAAATTCGGCCTGACGGCCGAGAAATCGGCTGTACAGAAAACAGACATACTTTTCTCGCTTATAGGATAGGATTAAAGGTACCCTAAGCCGATAGATTACGTAGCGTAATCGGTTCAAAAAGATCGCAAGGAATCTCTGCTAGCTTGCCAGCTGGCATTTCATGCCTCCAGATTCCCTCTATCAAGCTCCGAAAATCTTGTCTATTTTGATGCGAAACTGTTTAGTATTAGGTTGGACCGAAAGTTCGTGCAATATTTTTCAGTATTTTATATTTTCGTTCCGGAAAACGGTTCAGGAAAAAATGTTTTAGTGATTGACGTATGCACAATCAAATTCTCTATTCGAGCGGTGGGACGAAATCACAATCCATTTCCCTTAGAAGTTTTTCAGTTTAATTTACTAGAAAATCGAAAAAAAGACTGCGGGCCGCTGTTTCCAAAACAGTTCCGATTTATCTTTTTGCATATTTCTGCATCTAAATAGTAGCTAAAAAGTATTATTTTGCTGGCGCCTCTATGCTATGGTAAAGTTATGGTGATCATGAAAGATGTCCGGGTCAAAAATAGCGACGCCTCCTAGAGAAACGCAAAAATAATAAAAACTACTGCGCCTAAAATCTTGTAAATTTTATCACATATACTATTAAACTCAGCGAATATGGGGGAAAAGAAACAGTGATATCGGCCCACAAAAATTTTAGAAAGAAGTCTTCGAAGTTCGATTGTACGAACTTATGGTCCAACCTAATAACCATTTTTAAGTCTTATCCTTCGAAATTTCAAACAATCGCTGCTAGTTTACCCTGGTCTCTGACTTCAACACCCCTTTAAAAGCTCTAAACTTCTCCGGAAACATACTCCAGCCACCGTTCGTCCCTCTCGCACACCACCAGCCCTCCCTCGATGTCCTTCTCGGTGATGAGGAGTAGGGCCCAGCTCTGCAAGTAAGGGCTAGTTTTTTTAGAGTTATTTTTTTAGCTAAATATAGCCCGAGAGGTAAATATTTGTCTGGCTCAAGTTTTGCAGTTGCAGCCCCGATGTAATTCAGCCAATTCAGGCTCATATGGGTCCATTTTTGGCTCAATGGTGGGCCGAAAATTGGCCGAATTGAGGGCGCAAGTGCAAGGGTGGAAGAGAGGGAGAGAGAGAGAGAGAGAGCGAGAGAGAGAGAGAGTGATAGAAACTGAGAGAAAAACGAAGGCCATACCTGAGTCACCGAAGAAAATATCAGGTTGATCAGCAGCAGCTTTTTGCTAGAGTGCAGCACACCGAAGAGACCCGATTCCATTCTCTACAATAATAATCTTCTTAGAAAAACAGCTTATTTATTACTTAAAATCTAAGTTTTTTGAACTGTTTTAGCCTATAAATTTGATAGGTATAATAATAATTCGAATTTCCAAAAATCGGAATTCAGGGTTTCGAGATTTTTTCTTGAAAATCGTTTTGAATTTTTCTAGAAATATGAATATATTTCATAGTTGTAATCTTTTTTCAATACCTTCATCGGGAAGAAAACGATCGCGAATCGCTGCACAAACATCAGCACCCAGGTCCAGTTGACGAACGTGGCGGCCACGTTCGAGAAGAAGTGCATCGCTTTGCATAGCAACGGGCCTGAAACGAGCATTTTGAAAGAGACAGTTTGAGCCCATTTTCAAGGCTATGAAATTTGCATAAAACGTATCGGTTGAAGGGTTTTTACGTGCAGCATGCATTCAATCGGTGCTAAACTGAGGAACTAGCTTGTTTTGTGCAGGGGTGAGTTGAGCTTGATTATGGTAGATTAAGTGCAAAATAGCCATGCAAGGTTTTGGCCAACACACAGCCCAGGCCTACCAATTATTGCGGCGAGCGATTCGACTAAAAATTGCGGAAATCAAGCGGATAAATTGAGGAGTTTTCAGGCTTCAAGTTCAAGCCTCAAGCTCACGGGCTCAAGCCAAGCTTTAAATGAAGAAAATTAACTGGAATAGCTCAGCAAATGCGGAATTGAGCACGAGCATTGATTAGCGAAAAATTAGAGAAAAATGCCGTAAGGAATAAATTGAGGAAATAAGCGCGAAACGAATAAACCAGTATTGGTGAGTTTCCTATCAAAAGTTATTTTGTAAGCGAACTAAACATAACTTTTTTATAGATAAAAGAAAAACTGATAAAAATTGAAGCTACAAGCTACAAAAGGTTCTAAAAGCAAAGAGTAGTCTTCAAAACTACATAAAAAAAGCGTCTAAAACTTATTAAAAATTCTAATCCGGATTTCGACAAGCTTTATCTAGCTGGGACAAAGGGAACGATTTAAAAGTGATGATTTTTTTGTTAAGCAAACTAGCGTCAGGAAGCTTTAAGCAAAAAAAAAACAAATTTCTAAGCGAAAACACGCTAAGAAAGTAAATTTGATACAGTAGATAGACCTACCCTTCATCAGCGGAAATAACGTTTGTGAGAGCAGCTCCAAAAGGATGATGATCAGCATCGCCAGATCTGCACAGACGATTGACATCAAGAAGAGGAAATAGTGGGAGCGGCGGATGCGGAGAACGATGCCCAGGGCTACGAGCAGCACCTAAAAACGATCGATTGAGCGAAGCTGGCCAAAAATCTAGGACGTTGCCTTTCCAGGCCCTTGAATCGATTGTTAATATTCTGTGAACAACAAATGAAATATCCACTCACCAGCACCGATAAAAATGCAAAGATGAGCACGAGCCAGTACTGTATCCGCGAGACGAACATCCATGTCTCTAGTTTGTCGTCACTGGATACGTCCATTTTCTGAAATTATACGATAAGAATTGAAAAGAAGCAGGAACATAGTATGAAAACAAAAAGAATGAAAAAACACGAATAAGGAAAATAACAATTAAAACATTTTCCAGATATGGAGGGTTCCGAAGAAAAACAAGACCACATGAGCGGAGAAACTTGATATTTCCAGTAATCGCATATTCCGCAAAAACGGAACGTTCCGGAGACCTGAACAAAAACGGAGCGCGGACTGTGGTTAACATGAGCCGAATAAGCAGTTAAAAATGGGAGATTTCAAGGGCAGACCTGCACAAAAATTTGGATCTAGAAATGCCCAGGAGACGTCACGAAAAATAAGATTCGGGCATAGGCGAATTTTTAAAGCGAACTTTCAATGGATTTGGACCTTATTGTTAGAATTTGGTAGTGCGATTTTCTGATCACTCCGGCTAGACGGTGCTTTGTCTGAATTTGCCTGAGCCTGAACGCAGTAGTACGTCACACATCACGACAGGTGTTGTCCAGGATTCCAGCGTGATTTTTTCAATTGGTTGCTCGTGGATTCCGGGAGACACCTGAACGGCCCGAACTCGCGCTAGACACCCGACGTGCAAAAATCTGTCTGCAGGGATAGGGTACTTGTCAGAAAATGCTAAGGGCGGGTTGTTACTACTGTTTTTAAGGGCATAGCGCCAGTTAGGTCTCAAAATCTGACATCTAGAAAGTTGGTGAGAAACACGACACCGTTGACTTCAACGTCCAAAAACGTAAGCAAAGCCTAAAATCACAAAAATCCATAAATCAATTCTCAGAAGAATCATAAGACCAACAAGAACCCGTCATGTTTTTGACCACAGCCAAGTTGCTCTACCCACGTTTTTTCGGATCTGGGGAAAGGCCAAATTTGTGGACCGGAAGTTTGGCGTTTTAGGTAGGGGACGACCGGGAAGGAGTTCGTTTGCCTCAACCAGATTGGTAGCAAGGCAAAAAACGGTTGAAAAAGTAGCAGCTAAGAAAGGTAGTAAACAAAAAACACAGTGCAAGAGGCATTGAGTTTTATTTGGGTTTGGGATTCGGCTTAGGCTTAAGTTTAGGTTATGCTTGGGCTTAGGCTGTGCTTAGGCTTAGGCTTAGGTTTCGGCATAGCTTAGGCTAAATTTAGGCTTGGCCTAGGCTTAGCTTAGGTCTAGCTTAAGCTTAGCTTGGGCTTAGCTTAGGCTTAGCTTATGCTTAGCTTAGGCTTAGCTTAGGTCTCGCTTAGGCTTAGCTTAGGGCTAGCTTAGGCTTAGCTTAGGGCTTAGCTTAGGCTAGCTTAGGGCTTAGCTAGGCTTAGCTTAGGCTTAGCTAGGCTTAGCTTAGGCTAGCTTAGGCTTAGCTTAGGCTTAGCTTAGGCTTAGCAGGCTTAGCTTAGGCTTAGCTTAGGCAGCTTAGGCTTAGCTTAGGCTTAGCTTATGCTTAGCTTATGCTTAGCTTAGGCTTAGCTTAGGTCTCGCTTAGGCTTAGCTTAGGCTTAGCTTAGGCTTAGCTTAGGCTTAGCTTAGGCTTAGCTTAGGCTTAGCTTAGGCTTAGCTTAGGCTTAGCTTATGCTTAGCTTAGGCTTAGCTTAGACTTCTTAGGCTTAGGTTCAGACCTAGGCTTTTCATAGTCAAATCAATACATTTCTTCTAAAACGCAACCTCTAGCTACCGTAGCCCAGTCAAAAACGCCCCGAGACCTTGGTCTCGACCAGAGACAATGGCTTCTTTAGGCTCGGGCCCTGATTCGATTCTGGTCCCGGAAAAATTTCAGGAGAACAAAAAAATTGAGCCCCTGAAAAATGGGGCTCATTTTCGAGGTGAGGAGGAGCAACGTATAGAAAAACAGAAAAAAGGGAACAGGGCGGCGGTCTCTGATAGAAAAACGCGGTAGATTTCCATTTGGGCCGGGTCCCTTTTCGGGGCTTTTGAGGGGCCTAGAGGGCCCTGTGGGCCCCTAGGCCCCTCATTAGGGCATACATGTGGAATGGCCACATTCCAATGTGTGGCCCCTCCGGTGTTTGTGGCCCAGAAAGAGCAGCACCCGGGGCTGGGGCACCCCGGAAATTTTTGATCTGAATAGAGGTACGTGTTTTCTAGCTGGGAGTGACTTTGTAAAGACACGGAAGCAGCTGGCTGAAAAGGCAGGCTATCAGCGATGATTGTGGAATTTCCATTATGGCTGCCCGGAGGCCTAGACCCAGGACGAAGCCTAAGCCTAAGCCTAAACCTAAGCCTAAGCCTAATCCGAAGCCTAATAATAAGTCTAAACCTAAGCCTAAGTCTAAGCCGAAGCCGAAGCCTAAGTCGAAGCTTAAGCCTAAGCCCAAGCCTGGGCAAGACAGACACGACAATAAAAACCAGGCAATTATTAAAATGTAAATCATGCAGGTCAAGCTGGCAAAGGTCTTTAAGGAAATTACAAATAAACAAAAATAATAACGATTTTGGAAACGAAAAATGAATAGTAATAAATAATTAGCAAACATTATTTGCGCATCGGAATTATTGGCTGGCTATTTCGGGGCGGGCGTAGGAATAGAAAAAGAATGAGTGTTTACTGGAGGGCAAGATAACAAACATCTTTAGGGAGACAAGCAGCAGCCGCCAAGATAAGCAGAATTTAAGGGCCATACTAGCAGTGATCATTCAGGAAACGACATCAAAATTATTTGAAAAATAGGGGGGTCAACACCAACGGAGACCTTTGACGAATAAGACAGACAAACACGAGCCGAGAAATCGGGCAAGCTGGCAAGGTACTTGAGGAATTTCTGGAGTCACATGCGCTAAAAGTATAAGCTAACTAACTACTCGTAGAAGTTGTAGTAGCTAAAAGATTCGGAACGATAAGGGTAGGCTAGCAGGGTTCGTTGTCAAGGCGCCGATCAGCTTGAGGATGCGGCAACACAGGTCTGTGCATCCACCCGAAATCCACTCGGAATCCCCCGAGGGGATCGAGGGGAATTCCACTAGCTGACGAGAGTGGTTTCCACGTGGAAATCGAGTGGATTCCGGGGGGAACGCATGGAAATCGAGTGGAAACCGAGCGGATCCGGTTGGTTTCCACTCGATTTCCAATAGCCGCGTCGCATCGTGGTCACGTCGCGTCGCGTTTCCACTCCATTTCCACTGCGTCCACCCGATTTCCACCCAATTTCCACCCAATTTCCATGCGTTCCACCCGAATTCCAGGTGGAATCCACACGGAATTTGGGTGGATGCACGGACCTGTGAAACCAGGCAAACTAGCAGAGATTTGACAAATTTACCATATACCTTGTAGGTAAATGATTGATGTTTGCCGTTGTAATCTGCCCCCATTAAGGAAATTCTCGAAAATTCACAAATCTTTAAATCTGAATTTCCGGTCCCCGGGGAGGGCAGTGTTTTGAGGCGACGGCCACCCAGGGAAAATGGTTCCCAAAATTCCTATCTCGCCCATTCATACGTTAAATGGGAGCCGTGAGGCGTTCAAAATTCAGTATCTTTTTGAAAATTTCCAGTTTTTATTCACGAGCGGATGAATTTGTTTGTGGATCATGCCAAAGCATCATCGAGAAAAATGTAAAAATTTTTAATGTTTTCAAAACTTGGTAGGCGGTAGGAATTTAGAAACTACAGAATAAACCGCTCAAAGAAAAATATTTCTTTATTTAATTTTAAATCCGTACAACTGTTTGAAAAATTGCTAAATCCTTTGTCGAATTTATTCGTTAAAATGATAATTCGATTCGTAAAAAATGGCTAAATTTGTTGTGAAATCCAAAAATTTTTGGAAAAGTGGAGCAAAATTTTAATTAGTTTCCATAACACTTTAAAGTTTTTAAAGTATATCAAGTTCGGTAAGTAAAAACCAAAATTTTGGAAGTAGAAGATAATAATAGATACGAAAAAAGCAGCACGTGAAAATTTATAAAATTCTAAATATACTTCTGAAAGTACGACCAGGTTCTCCGAGTGTTTTCGGAAAAGCTGCCCTCACGAAGGGTAGAGACCCCTAATCTCTGGATACTGAGGATTCTTCTGGGCATTAATGACTACTGTATAGGAAAGGAGGAGAAAAGGAGGGTCCGCGGCCATATTACAGTCCTTATGACAGCGTTTTCTCGGAAGCCCCAGACTGAAGAAAAGGATAAGTGCAGCGTCTTGCAATCGGCTCGGCATGTATAGCTTTTTGAGGATTTAGACTAAACGTGCAGGTCTAGGCTCAGATTTTGTCGAGCTTCTCGAAAACGCGCGCTGAAAAAAATAAGCCGTTTGCTTTTTTATGCTTGGCACTTTTTATTTTGGCCACAAGCCGTGGCATTCCACAATTTTTTGTAGTGGGATTGGAAAAATGCAGGGTGGAATCAGAGATCAGAAAAAAAAAATTGAATTTTGAATGGAAGTTCGTTACTTCCTCTCTTTCACGCCCTTTCTCTCTCTCTCTCTCTCTCTCTCTCTCTCTCTCTCTCTCTCTCTCTCTCTCTTTCGCTCTCTCTCTCTTTTTCCCTCTCTCTCTCTCTCTCTCTCTCTCTCTCTCTCTCTCTCTCTCTCTCTCCCTCTCTTTCGCTCTCTCTCTCTTCTCTCTCTTCTCTCTCTCTCTCTCTCTCTCTCTCTCTCTCTCTCTCTTTCTCGCGCTCCCTCGCTCCCTCGCTCGCTCATCTCTCTCTTCTCTCTCGCTCTCTCTTCTCTCTCGCTCTAGGAATGAACTATAATATCGACCAACCTGCAAAAAAAACAGAACTGTCAGAAAGAGCGAGTAAGAATAATTCTCAAAAGCCACGTCTCCTATCAAATCGAACGATCCGATGAAGTTGAAAGAAAAAATGCAACAAGGGTCGCTAATTAGAGATACACCCTCGCTCCTGATCCATGGCGCTTCAACACTGATTCCAGGGTTTACCAATTCGGCCTCTCTTCCCGGAGGACAGGCTCCACGGAATTTCTGGGAAAAATTCAGGCAACAATTATGTGGCTCCTCATCTCTCTCTCTCTCTCTCTCTCTCTCTCTCTCTCTCTCTCTAT